ATAACGATAATTAGACGATATTTTGCTGAGTGTGTTATTGTGCTGGTATTTAGAAGTGCCCACGATAACAATATCGTGCATATTCATTACCGTGATATATCGCATTACTGAATAAGTCTAGTGTGAACTGACCACTGCACAGAATATGAAGAATATCAAGTCAGCTGTCCACGGCAGTCCTTAAGATACCAGCACAATAACACACTCAGCAAAATATCGTCTAATTATCGTTATCGATAAAATCCCAGAAAATATCGAGATATTATTTTTTGTTAATATCGCACACCCCTAATTCCAACATATTAAAGCAAAAATATGTCTTGTGTTGTATTACAAACTCTGACAGCATCTCTTTAATGCTTAATTTTCAGGTGACTCGAGAGATTTTTTCAGCTCTCAGCGACTGATGGAGCTAAGAACGGATCTGCGGTCAGAAAGCCCTGTCCAGGCGACCCATTTTTACAGCTGAAGCCATTGAAATGACTGCAAAGCCCTGACATTTCCATGGGTTAAAACAGCCTGAAGCGCTGTTTTTTGCAGCCTGAGGCCAATCGCAGGACTGACCTGATTGTACAGGACTGATTATTATTATTATTATTTACCATCGGCTGTTACTTCTGTCATTGTAATTATAATTATTACAATTATTATTACTGTTCTTTTTTATCAAGTATAACCATTTTCTTTCTAACGACTTGAGAAAATGTAAGAATCTTGAACGTTTCTTGAAACAACGTCCTTCCTAACCATAATGTAAAGGTGGGACGAACTGTCATTTTTGTCTCTTGTGTTGTTTTGTAACATGTCTGCTCCGAGCCGATGTGAAGGACTCTATAGGACTTCTGTTTCTCTTTATTTGGATGCTTGTATTCTCCGGTTCTGTTAGCCCGTCCTGCCACAGTGGTTTAAATTATTCAGAAAGACAACAGAACGTTCTTTTTCTACCTTTTTCACAAGTATTGCAACTGCTCCTATGTAATTTCTCTTTTGTGAATATGTAAATGAAAACAGGAGGGAGGTGTTATTGTACAGTGGCGCATTTTGGGCCTTTGGTGGTTATCAAAGCTTGTTGTAATGGATTTGCCATGCACAGCGTATTCTTTGAAATGTCTTTTTGTAAGGAAACCTCCCTAGCTCTCACTTGCATATACAGAGAGGTGATGGGAACTCTGAAAAGGTACAACCCCGTTAATGCAATGATGCACCTTCTTAAGAATGAGCTTGTATGAGAGTGTGGTTTTTGAGTTATTCCTCACGTATGCACGCAGCAAAAAAACAGACCGCTTCAGGCCAGGGATATGTGATACAACCCAGTTTACTCTGCAGCTGGCTGATCAAATATTGATATCTTTAGGCCAACGCAGAGCTTCGCACACTCATCGCACATTACTTTTTTTTTTTTTATATTAAAATGACAAGGATGTATACACATACAACAGACTGAACTTGTAAATATTTTTGGAAAATCTCAACAAGTAATGTATAATTTGACACTTGCAACCAAAGATACTGAGCTTAGCGGTTTAAAGGATGTATTTTTGGACAACAGCTGGGGAATTATATTTTTATAGACATGTTTTCATGAATTGCCATCGTATCTAAAACAGAATAGGTAGAATATAATTTCATTCCTTACAAAAGAGATGGAAATTTGGAGTCAATTGTGATGGGGAAAAAATGACACGACAGATATCAGGCAAACAGTATTTTAATGTTTTTCATTTGTTATTAAAGGGATATTTAATCCAATAATAAAAAGCTGTCATTTACTCACCCTCATTTTGTTCAAAACCTGTATGACCTGTATTTTTTTCTGTGGAATATAAAAGATATTTTAAGAAACATTTCAGTGTTTTTTGTCCATACAATGAAAGTCAATGATACCAAACATTTGGTTATCAACATTCCTGAAACTATCTTCTTTTGTGTTTCACTGGAATAATCAAGTCATACAGGTTTGGTATGACATGAGTAAATGATGACAGAACTTAAATTTTTGGGTGAACTGTCCCATTAAGTGAGGTAATATTTTCTAGAAAAGATTATGATCCTGCAGCCACAGGGGATTTATGTTTATAGCTGTAAGTAAAGTCCAGGATTTTCATGTAAGACACCTCGTACTTAATGCGTTAATTCAACTTAATTGTGATATTGATATGCATCTGTGATTTTTAAATGATAATTTGTGTTTTATTATATTACTGTCACATAATCAGGCACTGTCTGTGAGTTTTACATTTGCAGTGCCTTGTGTCCAGTTGCATGGGCTCTTTAGCTTGAAGCCCCGGATCTAGAGTTGGGGTACTTGGACTCGAATCTGACACGGACTCTGACATTTTGGACTCCGAATTTTTTCCAAGTGCAGTCGAATTCATGTCATGTGTAACATGAAATATATATATATATATATATATATATATATATATATATAATTAAAATAAAGTGCAACATAAAATTAAGATAAGACATCAATTGGTTAAGAACCTGGACTCGTCTTGGACCCAACAGTAGCTACCTGGCCCCACTGGCTGTATTACAATCTTATACCCCAGTACTCAGTATTTCAATTATGCCTGTGGTTTCTTTTTTACCATGTTAACATACAGTATAAAACATAATGTCATCAATATGTCATGAGGCTCGTGTATTATAACACAAGAGTGACGCTGAAGATGAAAACAGCAGTGAAACAGTTAATAGTGGGCACTTGATATGAGTGTGTGTTTTAAAACGTAGTGAACTACAAACCTCGACATTTTAATAAAATAAAATGCTAATAAAACCATGTTTGTTTCATATGTGTGTTGATATTACCGCTATAAAAGTCGTTTCGCTATTGATATTTTACAGTCTCGTCTTCTGATCACTCCGTTCTCGGCTCATTGCGAATCAAATCAAGCATGCTCGAATGAGACGACTCGTGATTCAGTTGAGTCAGTGAATCCGAGTCAGACCAATTAAGTCGGATTCACGAAGACTAGTTTTGTGAACCGATTCAACCAATTCATCACAGAGATCCGACTCAAAAGAATGATTCGATGCCGAATCGGACGTCGCTACTAGGTAGGCAGCTCGCTGTGTTTTGAAACGCAGCCGGTGTCTGAGCATGTGCTGTTACTGCTGCAGTGAAGTAAAATATGTCAGTTATCGCTGGACAGCAGCAAGAGCCGGCTACAAATGTACTCTGAGAGGCAACCGGTGTAACGATTTTCTGTTTAATTCTTCCGTTTATCACCAAAATGAGGCCCGGCTTCTCCACATCTACAGCGGCGGAAGAATAATACGGTAAGCCTCGCCGGCTTTTAGGATGTTTTTTTAGACCTGTTCGGGTTTCCAGCATGGGTTATCCCACAATTTACACGAGCTAAACCGGTATCATTCACTGCACCTTTCTCGGCCACCAGCTCGCTGTTTAACGGACTGTTATCACCTAAACAGGCGAACGAGGAAGTCAACGCTGCCTTCTCCATCGCGCACTTCATCCTTTAATTACGAACGAACTTAAGTTTGAGCATTTGCGATGTTGCATCTGCCTATATATCATTTGTTTGTTTTCCGATACGGGAGCAACAGGGAACTTTATTTAATGTTTCTCACTATAATGAAGTGCTTAAAGTCCGTACAGTTATAAATCACATCGTATTGTTGTGTTATACAGTGTGTCTGCGCAGCCGACGCAGCGCTGCAGTGGTCGGTTGTCATGGAGGCCTGCGCTGCGCATCCGACCGGCGCTGCTGTCACGACTGCGGTATATTCAGTCTCACGCGAAAAACCCTCAGATTTACATATCCCAAACAATTCGTATTGACATTAACACATCAGGTGTTAAATCAAGTCGCATCATTCTCAGCTTGTATTTGACAACACTTCAGAAACAGAGAGTATTTTGACTAAACAGACCAAGAGAGTTCAAATTCTTCACAAGTATTGGGGTCACTGGCTATAAACAACCTTTGGCTTTGACTTCTCACTTCTTCCATCTCAGTCACCTACAGTAAGGTTAAGAGTATATAAATATGATACGTGCCCTTTAAGAGGTCGGATAGTTTGGATGGATCAATATTTACTACGCTGACTCTGTCCTCATATTTCATACTGCTAAGCTGAAGCCCCACTTACATCAGCAGCGTGAGACCAGAGACACTTAAAGCTTACTTGATTAAAACTGGGGATTTGGAGTTTAGTGTGGCAGATCAGCGCCACTGCACTCCACGCTGTTTCACTTGCACACATCTCAACCTTGACTCTCAAAATAAGACGTGTAATTATGGTAAATGTTGGTTTGTCATTATTCTTCATGCTGGAATCAAAGAAGTCGTGCAGTGTCAGTCTTTTTTAACATCACTGTGGCTTGGTGCTGTCATGTGACAAACCCTCTCTATTAAGGCTCAGAAGTTGTTAATCTCTTGGCGCTGACCCATATGGGTCTGGGACATACTTGTGGTCCTGTCAGGGGAACAAACTGAAAGCATAAGCTCTCGGGCTGCTTCATAATCACTTGAAGTAAAAAGTATATAACAGGCCCGATTGCAGAGCGGGACTGGGTGGTCCTGATCCACCTAATCATGAGCTTGGCCCACCTTGTATTTTAAAGCTGGAGGAGCCAGACCATATTAAACTACCATGGTAGCACTCAGTGTTATTTTAGTATTATTTATATACTTATTATAGTATTCATATTTTGAATTCATTTATATTTTTATATTTTCAGTTTTAATTTTAATTTTAGAAGTTTATGTTTTGTGCTTTTGTTTTTATTTTTAAATATTTCTATTTACCTCTATTTTTATTTTAGTTTTTAGTAATTTAATTAAGCTTAAATGTATTTTATTTCAATGAGTTACCAAGGCAGCATTTCTAGCTACATAAAATACAGAGTCCCCACTTTTTCAGAAATGGAGGGTCACAGACTGTGAATAGTACTTTTAATCATTAATTTTATATTATTTTAATCACTTAATATAAATAATGCTAGGGATGATTTTATGGGTAGTGCTAGACAGCATTTTTACATAATAAATGTGTGTGAACTGTGTATATTTATATGTATATAAAAATACATACATGTATATATTTAAGAAATATATGTAATATTTATTTATATTTATATATAATATATGTAAACAAACTTATTTTGAATAACAGTTTATCGATTAATTGCAGAGAGGCAATTAATGCAGAGAGACATCAGCAAAATTGTGGGCATTAAATAGGGCTCTAAAATAGATTAATTGCGATTAATCGATTTTAGAGCCCTATTTAATGTCCACAATTTTGCTTATGTCTCTCTCTCTCTCCACACACACACACACTCACATATGTGTATTGTTATTTATGTACATATATTGTTAGTATTGACATCTGCCACTGAAAAACACAGTCAGCCAATAAATATGAGACTGTTATTATTTAGCCACTCCTTATTACTAAAAGCATTTAACTACTATTGTTTTGCATTTTGTTTCATTTGTGCCTCATTAACTGATGAGTGAAACTCAGGATGAATTGTCCGCCTCATGCTGAAGAATTTAATGAAACTGCTGAAGAATGTAATAATCCTTCTGAAACATGATCATCCTTTAACAGCCCTTAGGAGTCTTCTCAGCACTGCTCGTACCTGATGAGAAGAATGAAGGCTGTGTGCGAGCTGGAGCCAAGGTGATGTCTAGAGTAACTGAGCTGTGTGCGCTATTGATCCATTGCCATTTATATTTGTGCAGAGTGGAGTGAACTCGTGGCAAGAGACCAGAGGTCTCATCAGTCACCTCTAGAAATAGCGGCAATAAGAATGCATCAGAGCCGGTCATTCCAGTGCGTCAAAGGAGCAAGTTATAGTATATTGTCCCTGCCATTGATGTGCCTTTGTTCTCTTGGCAGGTGTGTGCTTGATTTTGACAAAAGGAGGACAGAGTGAAAAAAAAAAAAAAAACGGATAGTGTAGCCATTTTTATGTCTGAAATTCCCATAGTACTCAAATGGGCTCGCCGAAAAATATAAAAAGTTTTTATGCCATGCAGTTTTAATTTATGTTGCATGGAACACAAATGGAGCTATTTTTTTTAAATGTTCAAGCAGCTCATCTATATGGTGGAAGAAACAACCAAGCTCCAAAAATGCACCATAAAATAGTCCATGCGCTGTCCTTCTGTGTCTTCTTAAAGGAATCACCATTATTTATATACTATTATAGTAGGGATGGTAAGATTCACCGATTTGCATCGGTGCATCGGCATAAAAGTTAACAATGCGATGCATCAATTTAAAAAAGTGTGCATAGGATACAAGTTGGAATTTGTATCGCGATGCATCGTTTCTAACATATTTGCATCTGTAAAAACCGATTTATATCATAATTATTAGTAGATGCACTATACTTTTATTATTTATAAATCATTTGTGACCAATATTTTATATGTAGATTGATGAATATGTGTTCCCTAATCTAAAGTGTTACGAAAATTAATTTTTTGTTTTATTATTTTATTTTACGAAAATTATTTTTTAGTAATATTAGTTAACATTAACAACACTAAAAGGAATGTTTTGGGTTTTGGATGCACTATACAGTGCATATATGAACTTCCATTTCATGCCCTCACTAAAAGACAAATTCTTCATAACGCAGTGATTCCCTGAACTAATTCTTATCATCCAATGTCACATAAGCCAGCACTTTCGCTAGTCGTTCTGCTTTGATGCTGCTCTGTGCAGCTGAGCTTGCATGTCTGTGTGGGATAGTGATGGCCAGGCTGTCAGCAGTGACTGGTCTGTTAAGGTAGCTGAGAAGGTCAATAGAGGTTTGACAGGAGGCGATCAATAGCAATGCTGAGTGCAAGGCCAGTAAACGGGTAGCATGTAAACACCGTAACATGCATTGGGCTCCGTATCAAACTATTCTTAATGCCTCTAGGTTGTCCGGATGACTGAGCACTTGTGTCTTCTATTGTGGCACAAGAGCTGTGTCTTATCTCAGTGCATAGATTAATATTTCATAATGGTCTTTCCATTAGAGTGCAGAATATTAGCAGTATGTGCTGCACTCTCATGGAGTTGCGTTGATAAAACCTTTGGCGTTTCCAAGTATGAAATGCAATTTTTATCAAGTGTTATTTATAACACCTACAATCTCTCACTATCTCTTTTTTAGTTTTAAATTAACAATAGACAAAACAATGTCTATTAAAACAGCATTTTTTAAATGACACAAAAACAGAATATAGTATAAAAACAATAATGTAATCAGAAACTGGAAATAATATTAAAATATTACTGTAAAATAATATTAAACGGTAAGATAAATGATGAATTAATCAAAAGTGATACTTTTACATTGTTACAAAAAAATCTGTTTCAAATAAATGCTGTTCTTTTGAACATTTTCTTCCTCAAAGAATCCTGAAAAAATGCATTATACTATCTACAAAAAATCTTAATCAGCACATCTGTTTTCAACATAAGAAATGTTATTTGAGCACCAAAATCAGCATATTAAAATGATTTCTGAAGGATCATGTGACACTGAAGACTGGAGTAGTGACAGCTGAAGATTCAGCTTTGCTATCACAGGAATAAATTATAATTAATTTTAAAATATAATAAAATATTTATAAAACAATTCTTAAAATATAAAAAACTATTCTTTTTAATTGTAATCATATTTCACAATTTTACTGTGTTCACTGTATTTATGATCAAAGAAATTAGCCTTTGTGAGTATAAGATACTTGTTTCATAAACACGCACATATATATATATATATATATATATGTGTGTATGTGTGTGTGTGTATATGTATGTATACTATCAGATTCCTCCAAGAATCTCAGACTCCCTTAAGTTTTTCATTAACAACTATGCATTTTAATTGGCAATTATTGAGACAACTCCTGTATCCATTACTTAATGCTATAGGGCTGTATATTTCTCCATTGTGTGTTTTTGCTATTGTTAAGGAACTAAGAGCTTTGCTTGTAGTAAAGTAAATGTTTTCTGTCCAGAGCTTGTTAGAATGTTAAGCATGTCCAGTTCAGAACATTTGGAGGTGCTTTGTTGCAACACCAGATGCTCTTCCTTTTTGTGAAGATATTTCAGATGAGCTGGATGTATCAGATTCTAGGAACAATGTCTGCATTTATCTCAGTAATACTTTTGACACTTTTGATGTGTGAGGCTTTTATCATATGCACGGATTTTGTGACATTCAAATTAAAACATTTAGGAATTCACATTCATAGTGTTAGGTTAACAGAAATATTGCAATTTTATACAGTATTTATAATTTTCATTGTAAATTACATTCTATTGAAATAATCTGGCATGCTTTCAGTTACAGTAAAAACCATCCCTTAAAAACAATAAAAAATGTTGTTTACAGTAATACACTTACAATGGAAATCATGGGGCAGGGTCATACATGTGAGGTTACAAACATATAATATAAAGATGATTTTATAGCTCAAATAACACATTTATTGGAAGAATATACTGTAAATGCAAAAATACGATGGAATAATATTAATGTGTATTACAAAATCTATATGTAAAAAATAGATTTAGTCTTACACTAATAACTACTATCAAGTGCAAAAATATGATAGAACGACTTCCCTATAGACTTCTATTGTAAATGTATTACTGGAAACACAAATATTGTTTGTCTTTAGGGGCAAGTTAAAATGAATGTCTGTGGTGATGGATAGCATTTCACAGAAGCTTAACTTGTTTTGCACCTGTAACATTCCTTTATAACAAAGCTATTACTCCACTTAATTTAACAGGGATCTCTTTCTTTCTTTTCTTTCCTTTTTTCATTTTAGTACATGTGTACCACATTAGCATTGGCAGCAAAGCTCAGAAGTACCGCTCTCTTTGGACCCTGACAGTGTGGAGTGTGGACAGTGAGACTGCCAGACAGCAGGTTGAGTAAAATATGCAAATATTACTTTTTTTTTTTTTCTTCCATAAATTCCATTTCTTGTTTGTTTCTCTCCATCCAATGAATCCTAAGTATAGTTTAATCACAGCACAGGCTATATTAGTTTTTGATTTTCAAATAGACATAGCAGGTCTATTTTAAATGTCATGGTACACTTTGTAAAGGAACACTTTGTAGAGGTGTGAATTATAGAGTCACTTGAGTTCCCATGATGCCCTTGGAGCAAGACACTTAACCTCCATGTGCTCCCGGATGACTGTCCCTACAATTAGCCTACTCTACGCAGCTTTGGCTGAGAAAAACATCTGCTAAATGGCAAGTAACCAAAGTGTAATTGATAGGCCATAATGAGATCACATTCACCTCTAATTCAGTTTCACACACATCTTCAGCAGCAGTTGAATATCAAAACAGTCATAATTGCCTTAGAATTGACCAGCCATCTCTATAGTTTCACTGTGATGTTAGTTGTATTCAGATGAGCTGTTTTAGGACTTTAAGCCTTTCAGAGGCCCTCTGACACATGATACTCTATTTTAAGATTTGTACAGTGTGTGTGTGTGTATGAACATGGATTAACAGCAAAAGACAGTTGAAAGTGTTGATGGCTCATGTAAATTGGCTCAGTTATTTTTCTCTCATGTCTGAAAGTGACCCCTGTTCATGAATCCAGCTCATATGCTCCTTGAGATTGTATACTGTCATTTATTAATAATACATAGTAGATGCTGTTACTGTGTGTTGTCATGCAACATTTTTATTTTGTTGGCTATGTTCGGAATAGCATACTACTCTAATAATTTCAGCAATATATAAACTACTGTTGAAAGGTTAGGGGTTGATACGATTTTTAATGTTTTTAAGTCTCTTATGCTCAACAAAACATTAATTTGATCAAAAATACAATAAAAGTCACTAATATTATAAAAATAGTATCACAATTTAAAATAACTGCTTTCTATTTTAATATATTTTAAAATATTAAAAAAATGTATTCCTGTGATGAAAAAGCCGAATTTTCAGCAACCATTATAGTCTTCAGTGTCACATGATCCTTCAGAAATCATTCTAATATGCTGATTTGCAGCTCAAGAAAGACTTCTTATTATTATCAATGTTTAAAACAGTATTGCTATTTAATATTTTTTGTGTAAACCATGCTGCTTTTTTTTTTCAGAATTAAAAATTCAAAACAGCATTTGTTTGACATGAAATCTTTTGTAACATTATAAATGTCTTAACTGACTTGTTTGAACAATTCAATGCATCCTTGGTGAATAAAAGTATTAATTTCTTCCAAAAGAAAAAAGAAAAAAAAACAACCTTTCTAACCCCAAACTTTTGAATGGTAGTATAATTTGGGAACCAAATGCTGATTTTCTATATGCATAAATTACCCAAATGGCCTACTATTTGGCCCAGATTTGCCAACAAAACACCCTGTGTAAAATACTGTATCCCAAAATATAATGCACTCAGTTCCATTTCCATGTGATAATTAAAACTGGAAGTAATATCGGCAGAATTTAAAAACATTTTTTTAAACATATTTCACAGTCGAAGGTTAAGACATTTAAAAAAAATTTGATAAAAAAAAATTGCATAACCCCGTTAGCCAGTGCTGATAGCTACCATAACTTTCTTCATTGATGGCCATACAGAACTGTCCATGTTTTGTCACAAAATAAAATGTTTTGCTAGCAATATATAAATAGGAAATATTTCATTTTATTATAGCAGATATTTTACCAGTGGCCATTTTTGCAGGGCCCTTTAAAACTTAATATATAATTTTTTTAATCATTTAATTTAGCATTATTGTGGTGTCACTAGCCAGTTTTCTGCATTTTATGACGTTATTTCCCTGCAGCTCCAGAGCCATTAGTCAAGATTTGCTGCTAAAGTCATTTGTCTCAAAAACAAAACTGTGCCCACAACCAAAGATGGCACCTGCAGGTTGTGTACTGCTGTTTTACATACTATTTTGAAAAACAGTAGGCAGTGTACACTGTCCACTGCATAGAATGCATTATGCTAGTATTCCATTCAGAACATAGCCTCTGTTACAATGCGGATTTATAACACACTTTTTTTTTTTTTTTTTAACTTCCTGATGCCTATTAACTCCACACATCAAAGTAAAAGTAAGATGGTCATCATGGCAACCACAGTGACCCCTGAGCCCCTTACGGCCCTCTCTCGGTGGTACTTGTACGCCATCCACGGTTACTTCTGTGAAGTCATGTTCACAGCAGCCTGGGAGTTTGTGGTGAACTGCAACTGGAAGTTTCCTGGCGTGACGAGCGTGTGGGCGCTCTTCATCTACGGAACCTGCATCCTGATTGTAGAGCGCATGTACCTTTGTCTGCGGGACCACTGCAATGTGCTGCTCCGCTGCATCATTTACACACTGTGGACGTACCTGTGGGAGTTTGGCACGGGTTTGCTGCTACGGCAGTTCAACGCCTGTCCGTGGGACTACTCCGAGTTTAAATATAACTTCAAGGGCCTGATCACGGCAGAGTACGCTGTGCCGTGGTTCTGCGCCTCCTTTATCGTAGAGCGCCTGGTGATACGCAACACGCTCAGGTTGTACTTCGACGAGGCCGCCGATCCCGGCCAGGCTGAAGAACAGTCGGACAGAGGCAGTGGAGGAAGAGAAGGTGGAGGGCGAAGAGGGCGAGGGGCCAGAGCAGGGGCCACCAGCGCAAACGGTTACGTGAAGGTGGATTGAAGATGTTGTCAACACCTTTTCCCATCTCAAAGCTCCCGTCACCCATGACTCTATCCGCACATCTCTCAGTTTCTCTCCCACCTGCTTCCAGGGAAAGAGTCGCTCGGACACAGCTGGTGCAGCTCCAACAGAGACCGTTGCACAACTGTGAAGAACTTTCAGATTTATCGTCCAGCTGGCGTTCTTTGCTCATGTGGAGGGACGTTCATTTGCCACCTCAGTGCTCAACGTTTACTGCCCTCGCTTCGGGCAAGTAGCTGTTAAGTTCAAGGTTTGTCAGTAGTGGTGCCTGATGGCATAATGAGAAATAACCCTCCACCTCTACCACCACACTGTACCTCCCAAACCAGACCATCCACTCCGACACTCTGGGAGGGACAAACAAAATAACTTGTGTTCCCCCATCCAATATAAACAGGAACACAAACACATCACTTGTAGAGAGATGAAAAGATATACAGTACCGGTCAAAAGTTTGGGATCAGTAAGACTTGTAATGTTTTTTAAAGAAGTCTCTTATGCTCATCAAGGCTGCATTTATTTGATTAAAAATACAGGGGAAAAAAACAGTAATCTTGCAAAATATTATTACAATATAAAATAATGGTTTCTATTTTAATATCCTTTAAAATATCATTTATTTCTGTGATGCAAAGCTGAATTTCCATCAGCCATTACTCCAGTATAAAGTGTCACATGATCCTTAAGAAATCATTCTAATATGCAGATTTATTATTAGAATGATCAATGTTGGCAACAGTTGTGCTGCCAAATATTTTTTTTGGAAACTGCGATACTTTTTTCAGGATTCTTTGATTAATAAAAAGTTAAAAAGGACAGGATTTATTCAAAATATAAATCTTTTCTAACAATATAAATCTTTGCTATCACTTCTTATCAATTGAACACATCCTTGCTGAATAAAAGTTTTAATTTCTTTAAAAAAAAAAGAAAGAATACAAATTTACCGACCCTAAACTTTTGAACTGTTATTTATATTGTTAGAAAAGATTTCTATTTTAAAATAAATGCTATTCTTTTTAACTTTTTATTCATCAAAGAATCCTGCATCACAGGAATAAATTAGATTTTAATGTATATTAAAATAGAAAAACGTTATTTTACGTCATCATAATATTTCACAATATTACATTTTTTCCTGTATTTTTGATAAAATAAATGCAGCCTTGATTAGCATAAGAAACTCCTGTAAAAAACATAAAAAATTATTCTGATCCCAAACTTTTGACCGGTAGTGTATATCAAGTGCTTTAAAAAAAAAGCAGATAATATTTCACAATATTACATTTTTTCCTGTATTTTTAATCAAGTAAATGCAGCCTTGATTAGCATAAGAAACTCCTGTAAAAAACATTAAAAATTATTCTGATCCCAAACTTTTGACCGGTAGTGCTTTAAAAAAAAAGCAGGTCCTTTTAGATTATAAACCGTGTCCATGATGTATATGTAGTAGCAAAGCAAATAACTGTTAGGACATCTTACCTTTTGAATGTTAGTTTGTGTTATTTATTAATATCTAAAATGTAGTTAAGGATTGTCATGATAATATATTAAAAATGTATTGTGTATATACTGTATAACCTAAAGCAATGCCTTTTACTTGAATTTGGTGTTTTTTTTAATTCATCAAAAAGTTCTGTGCTTGAACATGCATGAAAGTTGTCTTCCAGAAGATTTGTTCATATTCAGACTGATCTTAGATGTTGTGTACAATTTATTTCCTTCTTTTTTTTTTCTTTGTTTATTTTTCTCATGGAGATGAAGACCCAAGAGAGTACTGTATTGTTTTTACATATATAGAGTCCTGGTGCTCAGTACTGAAACCATAAAAACATCACAGTTTCCTGTGTTTTCACTGGAGAGAATGAGTTATTGCGGTAAATGTGTTGATGAACTGGTGCTAGATTCTCATTGAGTTGCTTCAAGGGATCTGACGATAGTCACAATAAAGGCATCTAGTATGTAGGTTCACTGACCTCAGGTACGTCACTGTTAATTATTTAATCTCAGTCTCTCATATGCCATGAAGTAACGGATGAAGATGAACAGAAATATTGTGGCAAATTATTTAAAATGCCAACATCACCTTGGTATTACCCGCATGGCTACAATTTCAGGTTATGGATTTGCCAGAATTGTTTGTTGTATTGGTTATGTTGTTTCTGACCAAACAAAAAAATGCATTAAAGCTACTAATTTTTGAATGAAAGTCCTGTCCAGTTTCCCCTCAATATTATTGGTTATACGTTTTTTTTTAAGTGAAAAGGTCTGTGTAGTCTTTATCTCAGCCTTATACAAAAGTTGCAATTAAAATATCAAATGTTATTTTCATAGCTTTGATAGTGTAGCTGTGCAGCTATTGTTCTGAAGTTCATTGTAATGTCAGCATTTTGCACGCCTGTCTCTTTGGTGTGCTAGATGATTGTTAAAGTTATAAATTTTAAATGATTATCAAAGTGCTGTTGGACAGCACTTTTCTGTTCCCTGGAAATGTTGTGTTACTATTTGTAAGCGGTGCATTGCATGTGTGTTCTTCTATTGTAATCACTCTCTATAATGTCATAATACAGATCAGGCATATCAACAGATGTACAGTGGTAAAGGGGATGGTAATGTGATATGCGGAAGGAAGGCAATAAGTGTTGTCATTTGAATTTTAAATGTGTGATTTAAGCAAATAACACCCTCCGTCTCACACTTACACACCTACATTTGACCGTTTTTCTTTTAGTTCATTAAAACAGTGATGGTTTCACATATAGATCCTCAATGTTAAAAGTCTTGAAAGTAATCCTTCTCATGCAAGTAGAATCACAACGACTAGGAGAAGATGGCCTGGCCGATGACCGAAGTGTGGCAGTGTTCTTCCCTTTCTGCTGTTCTGAACAGTCACCTAGTATTAGTTAGTTGGATATTAGCATATTTTCAGAAAAAAAGACACTTGACTGTAACTATTTTTTATATGCAATAATTGATATAAAAGCTCACAACCCATAAAGAAAATGTGAATAAATGTGGGGATTTCAAATAATCGATTATCCAAACAGACTCCGATTCAATCACTGATTCAGATTTGTTCACTTGCATTATTGCGGTAGTAGGGGGCGATATGTGTGACTGTGTCTGAAATTGCCACCTATGTTCTTTTATAGTGCACTATTTGAGGGTTATGTGTTCGGAGGTGGTGTCTGAAACCATAGTGGACAATATGGCTGCAACCAAAAACTGGAAAATGCAGCCTTCGGAGGACACATTTCAAGTTAGAAAGGCACGAAGGCACGTCCAAATCTAATGCCAGTTTCACTTCCTGTCTCCTGAGATGCCTTCATCCGATCGATTTTTGAAGGCAGCATAGATGTATCCTTCGCTGCCTTTGATATCCTACAATCCTGTGCGTTCCATTCCTTGGAACGGTTACACTGCCTCATGGATTTTTAGCTTTTTAGACTTTTATTTGGAATTTTCACATTAATAAATTTTATTCACGCAATACAACAATTTTTAATCTCATAATTTTGACTCTATTTTAAAAATACTATGGCACTAAAACTCCGCCATACTAAATTACTTAATTCAAACACATCAGAAAAATAAAGAAAGAAAGAACTACTAACTCATTTTAGTTGTAATTAATTTAATTCTCCAGGCCTTTCTTTCGGCAAATTCATCCACAATGTCATGTTTAATTTAAGGCTTTGTGTAATCTCAATGGAAAGAATGGCTACTTTCGACAGTCTTTCGATAAAAGAGAATTAAAATGATAGAAAGAGAATTAAAACGGTGCACGTGTCGCTGAAGCTAGATGTGATTCCGTTGTGATGCAGTATTTTCAACTAGCTAGCTACCAACCTCACAAAGTTTTTTTTCTTTTCTTTATTATTATTTTATTTGGCCTTGGCAATGCATCGTTTGCACGTAATTTTAAAAATGTATGCAGTTCTACGGCAGCAATATATATATATATATTTCTGTCTAGGGATACAACGATTGGCTACTTTCGACAGTCTTTCGATAAAAGAGAATTAAAATGATAGAAAGAGAATTAAAACGGTGCACGTGTCGCTGAAGCTAGATGTGATTCCGTTGTGATGCAGTATTTTCAACTAGCTAGCTACCAACCTCACAAAGTTTTTTTTCTTTTCTTTATTATTATTTTATTTGGCCTTGGCAATGCATCGTTTGCACGTAATTTTAAAAATGTATGCAGTTCTACGGCAGCAATATATATATATATATATTTCTGTCTAGGGATACAACGATTATAGATTTTGTTCGTACGATTATTGTCTGAGGAATAATCACAATTTCACGATTATGACGATTATTATGCATTTATTCATTTCACAAAATTATTATTTTATAAATTCACATGGACACTTTAGATAATAAAGTGTTATTTATTGCTGCCTTTAGAAACAGAAATAACTCCGTAACCAATAATACAGCACAAAATAATAATAATAATAATAATAATAAAGACAAACAAATGTCTATCTCTCCAACTGGAATTAAAAAGGTGACCTCTGTTCTGTAAACATCCATGTCAGTATTTCCCTTTTGAAAATAACTAATGAAAATAGATCACAAAAGTATTTAGTGTTTTCAGTTTGTACATTCTTTACATCTCTTTAGGACCTGAGGCAGAAAACTGGAAACATGGTGAAAAAGAAATCTTGTTGGTTTTTGACTTATGCATAATACTATAAAAGGGATCATATATAACAATGTTAATAAGTATTATTAATATAGGACTATTAACTTTATTTATCCCACAGGGGAAACTATTAATGATGAGGGGAATAAACTGAACTATTGTAATCAACTGTCATCCATACAGATTCATTTTAATAATTTTTATAATAATTCATATGATTTTACATGTGGCCTGAGAAAATCATGTCTATTATTTTGGTTTGTGAGATTGGAGATCGTGCTGCGCACACATGCGAACACTCAGGAGAACCCTGCCCCTTGACTTTTATTAATAAAATAGCTTAGATACTGACATCACACACACACACACACACACACTTCTCTCTCTCTCCCTCTCCCTCTCGATCGAATAATTAATTCACGTAACTAAATGTTATAATTAATTAATTCAAATAAATGTGATCTTACCACACTATTTCATCTGTCTGACCTGAAGTGGTTAGAATACTGAGTTAACGAGTCGAGCCATAGCTTCGCGTCAGTCTTGCCTTCACATCCTGCATTAAAATAGTTTAAAGCCGTGTATTTGCTATTTAGCAGCAGTTTTTACAGCAATATTTAAATGACACCCTGGTCATTCTTGGTGTACCCAAAATAGTCCCACACTATCGACTATTCAGTAATTTCTCTGGTGGAAATAAAGGATCGCTGTTTGGTTCCTCTGTCATAATTAATCTAGTGTGTGTAGCAGCCTCTGTGTCTCTGATAAGCACAGCATTTTAAGATGGT